GTTTTCATCTTCCCTTTTGTCGTTCTGTTAAATTGCATTATTTTAACGCATGAGTTTTGCCCTCTCGATTTCTTTTTCCACGGCTGTGGGAGTTGCACAAGTGGCTGCGTGGTTCTTTGTTGCTGGCTGAGGCCAAACCACGACACTTGGCAACTTCATCTGCCAGTTCCCTTAGGACACGCGGATGAATCTCATTAGGTCACATGGACTTGTGCACCTTCAGGTTCCTCAGTTGGTCTTGAACCTGGTCTTCTCCTACAGTGGGCGGTACCTCATTCTCCCAGTCCCTGCCTTTGCCTTCTGCAAATTGAGAAGTGCGGCTAGAGCACCTGATGGTGAAGACCAAGGCAAAAAAGTCGTTGAGTACTTCAGCCTTGTCCATGTCCCAGGTGACCAGGTCTCCTGTTTCCTTCCGGAGAGGGCCCACATTTTCCCTAGTCTTCCTTTTCTTATCTACACACACCTATAGAAGTGTTTCTTGTTGCCCTTGATGTCCCTGGCCAGATTTAATTCTATTATCTGGGCTTTAGCTTTCCTAACCTGATCCCTGGCTGCTCAGAGAGTATCCCTGTATTCCTCCCAGGCTACCTGTCCTTGCTTCCACCCTCTGTAGGCTTCCTTTTTCTGTTTGAGTTTGTCCTGGAGCTCCTTCTTCATCCATGCAGGCCTCCTGGTGTTTTTGCTTGACTTCCTCTTTGTCGGGATGCATTGCTCCTGAGCTTGGAGGATGTGGTCCTTGAATATTAGCCATCTTTCTTGGGCCCCTCTTCCCTCCAGGGCTTTATCCCACTGTACTCTGCCAAGCAGATCCCCAAAGAGGCCAAAGTCTGCTCTCCTGAGGTCCAGAGTAGCAAGCTTACTGTGCGCCCTCCTCACCATCTGTCCTGGTTTGAGGTAAAACGGAACCAATTTTGGTCAGTAATTTCGCTTCTTATCTAGACCTCTCTAACTAAGCCACCACCCCACCCCCCCCACCGTAACATTACAGGGGCCCCTGCCCCCCGCCACCGCA